TTTACGAGCTGAGGCCGCGCTCCTCCCGCTGCTTCTTCGGCTCCTTCACGATGACTGTTGTGCCCTGGCTATGGCTGAATGATGACGCCTTCGACTGCTGCTGCTGCACAGGAGACGTGGAGGCAACCATGCGACAGGCAACGCACGGCGGCGCGAAGGGCACAAAGCTGGACTACCAGGTTTCGTCCAGGCAGCGAGGGGCAGCATTCCTAATTCGAAACTTCAAAAACAAACCAACCTCAGCTGCCCCCCCTTTTTTTTTTCCGAGGCCCCGCGCGGCCTCATGTGTTTTTTTTTTTGTTTTTGTGGTTCGTGACGCGACATCCCACCTGGGCCTATAACACCCCTCAGCAACTTTTTTTTTTTTTTTGTTGACCCCTTATTTTCGAGGTTCGTGACGCGACATCCCACCTGGCGCACCCCGTGCGTGGTGCGGCGCGTGTGCGGGGTGCAACGCATGTCGATGCGCCGCAAGTATGGGTGAGATCCTTTTCACGTGTTCGCATGCAGTGTGCATTGACCTGACCACTAACTAGATGGCCCATGTTGAGGCTTCTCGTGACTGGAAGCTGTGGGGCTCACTAAACCACACGTTCTACGGGACGTCACTTAGCCATCATGTTACAGATTCGAGTGCCTGCTGCTTGCAATGACATACTGCCAACTCCAGCTGTGTTATGTTTGTCCAGATGAAAGCCTTGAGGAACTGTCTCACGTCTCTGGAGGCATTGTGCATGGACGTGACCGCTACGTGGCCCATTTCGAGGCTTCTTATCACAGGAATCTGTGGGACAAAGGTGCCATTGTTCATGGTGTGGTTCCTCTGGGATGACAAAGATCACCTGCCTAAGGGTGGTACTCACACGAGCAATATCTTGAATGTAATGGCCGCATTTACGGACGGACCTGTATGTATCTGGCCACATCCGTCCAGAAATAAGTGAAAAAAAGCCAGTGTGAGTATGCCCTAAGAAAAACGTCCGCCCTCTCTTCCAGTTGTGGATCGGCTGTCCATCTCTGTGGCTGAACAGGGAATTATCTCTGTGTTGTGTGCTGATTCCTGTTATGCCAACATCAGTGATCAATACAGGTACTTAGCTTGTCAACAACAATGCTTTTCTCAAGTTAACCTCATGCTGAGCAGAGGAGTATGGGGGTGTGCTGTTTTTCTCAAGGTAACCTCATGCTGAGCAGAGGAGTATGGGGGTGTGCTTTGTGATCGTTCCTGGTGTGTGTAAATAGGGGTGCAAGTCCACACCACTGTACGACCCAACCTCGGTACAATGACATTGGCTCTGGTGCTAGGCTACCGGCTTGGGTCATGCGGGCTGCCCCTGGCTGCTTGGGTGTCGTGGCACACAAGGTCCGCAGGGGCCCTGGCACAAAAAATAAAAAAACTCGAGTCAGTTAGAAAATGCGTGAAAAAGAAAATGTTCAAAAAATCTGAAAAAAGTTTGAAAAACATGTTCTGTGGAGCAGCCCTCCCCAATAGGCGTCTTCGCGACTTGGACCGTGGGGCTTCTGGGCCTACAACTTGCTCCTCTTTTCTATCTTTCCTCACTCTTCAAACATGTCTGTCCTGTGCCAGCCGATGCCCCCCAGAAATAAGCAACCGGACTGATGGCCCCCGGACTGGATTGGGCCTGGTTGTCTCTTTATAAAAAGAAGAAGGAATCGAACTCCAACAAATTTTGGCTGAGGGTGGGTCGCTTTGGATTCTCTGAAAACGAAAATAAAGTTCAGGCCAGTAGATCAACGGTCCAGGCCAGTAGGTACCGGTGGGCAAGAGTCCGGCCCAGCACTACAAAAGGCTGGGTACCAGCCTCAGTGGGAAGGTTAGTATGTACGAGTTAGTCTAGAGGATTAGCGGAGCAGCCAAGCGTTAAGCAGATTAGCGCAGCGCTGCAGCAGTGAGAGCAGCCAGGAGACAGCGGCGCAGCGGCAAGAGGAACAGCGCAGCGGCCCAGCCGCGCCATAGCTACCAGCAGGTACCGGGAGGAAGGCTCTGCCTTCTCTCCCTCTGTTCCTCTGCCTCGGCTCTCTCTCTCTCTCTCTCTCTCTCTCCCTACCTTCTCAGTCTAAGTCTACTCCTCCTACAGGACTACTACTACAGTAATGGAGATGGTTACGATTTCTGATGACCTTTGAGACAGCGACATTGAGAGTACGAGTTGAGGACTATTTCGGGATCTGATTCTATCTCTCCTTCGGAGATGTACTTGACATTGTGACATCGACATCTGGGAGATTGTGAGACTTGGTATTCACGACATTTCGGATTTTCGTCACTTCTGACAGTTCAAGTTGCTATCTTTGGAAACATTGAGTTGACATCATCTCCCCTCTCCTCCTCCTTCGTCTCTCTCCTCTCCCCCCTTCGTCCGTGTATGATTCCAGTCCCTGGCCCTTCGTCTTTTCTCAAGGCCAGGGCATTCACACCCGATGAATGTATGAGAGTTGTTCGATTGCAGTCCGAGTCAGGTCTGAGTCAATCCAAAGGTATCATGCCCTTCCGCTGTATTTGTATCAACTCTGTATTATCTGGTCGGTTCTGGGAATCTGCGCCATACTTATGACTGTGTTTCACAAGTATGCAACACTTAGGGCTGCGAAATTGTCTACCGCGTGGCGCGGGGAACTCAGCCCTAAGGTAGCCAAAGCAATGAGACTAAGAAAGCGCGTGCGAGAGAGAGAGAGAGAGAGAGAGAGAGAGAGAGAGAGAGAGAGAGAGAGAGAGAGTTTTGTTC